CATTAAAAGCCTATTGCATACGTTAGAACTCTCATCTTTCCCAGCTTCTCAAATTGTTCTTGTAGCTTTTCTGGAGATACCTTGGATTTTCTCCTCAGATAATTATACTGTCTGTGAATAAAGATAAATTTATTTCTTCCATTCCAAACTCTATGTATTTTGTTTCTTTCTTTTGCGTTAGTCACAGGCTAGGCCTGTAGTATAATATTAAATACAAAAGGTGAAACCCAAAATTCTTCCCTTATTCCTGATCTTAGGGAGAAAGCATTCAGTCTTTCACCATCAAATATGACACTTCACATAGGTTTTCTGCACAGGTCCTTTGTTAAGCTGAGCAAATTCCCTTTGATTACTAATATGTTGGGAATTTTTAATCATGAATGGATGCTGGATTTGTCAAATGCATTTTCTGTACCTACTGAGGTTAGTATCACTAACTGACCATCTGCTGCTTGTCAATTTCTTTCGCTGCATTATTGATAAATTGTCACAACAAATGTTAAAGACAATATCACTCTCCTATTTAACAAATGATGAAACAAGGCTCACAAGTGTCTACAAAGCACATGGCAGAACTGATAGTTGTGAACAGTTCTCTCAGATAGTAAAAGCTTGTTCCCTGGATTTTTCATTATAGATTATTTTCAGAGAAAATTTGAGAGAAAGACTACAAGGTAGCAAATGTATTTCTTGAGCTTTTGAAATACCTTAAGACAGTTTGTTAAAAGGTTCTTTATTTATACAAATAGCATTAATAAAATAATTAAATAATTCTGTTGCTGAAAAGAGGGTTGTTGGTATCATCACATAAAATAATTCAAAAACACACCAATAAACCAAGCAAGCAGTGGCCTTATTGAAAGAAAGTAAGATAGTACATTTCCAAAATAGTGGGAGCGGGCAGGCCAGGAGAAGAGCAACTACACCAAAGAACAAAGAGGCTTAGAACTTTATTACCCTCAAAATGAGGGCAAGATATATTCAAAATGAGGGGGTGGCATAATAGGCATTCCTAGGTAAGTCCTTACTGACCAATCCTTCCTGGTGGGAAAAGGGATTCTCTTATCCTTATTTGGCTCTAGTCAAAACTGTCATGGCAGTACAGGCGGTGGAGACTTTCCCTGCTCCTAGTGCTAATAATATTATGATCGATTATAATTAGCTAAAGTTCACCTTGAAGGGCAAGATGGCGCCCTGGGTCTGTTCTTGGCCACTGAAATCTAGTTCTGGCTTGTCCAGTGCTGCACTTTTTCTTAAGGATGCTCTTATCTCTTTCCTCCTTTGTCTCCCCTTACTTTCTCCTCCCTTTCCTCCATGCTCTCTCCCTGTGGCCCTATTTTTTCTTCATATAGTAACATTTGAAGAGTTGGTTCTTTCACAAAAGAGGAAAGAAAACATATTATAAAGGATACACAAACTGCGATTCAACATCTGACAACTAGCTAGAGGCTTCATCATTCCTTTCAGACTAATTAATAGATACCCAACTTGCGTACCACATTGTAGCAAGGGTGACAAACTCTTCTAGGCTTTGTGCATCACCAGGAAACTGAAACTTCATTCATGGCTACTGATCACCCTTTCAATGATCCTTGAAATTTGCTTCTGATAAAGCATTCTACAGTGTATTTCTTCAAATTAATCACTATAAAGATTCTCAGAATTTTGAAATACAATTGCCATAT